GTACATATGTTGTTCTCGTTCTTTTCCATACATTTACTTTCTATTGAGCCTTTGGTATTAGCCCCTCTCCTCCCCCCTCACACCCTCATGGCCCATCGATAGATTATAAATTATTATTTTCAAATCTCACCGCTGTCTCCCTTCCCCCATGGTTTCTGTTCTTCCCCCTGGAGGGGTGTGTGTGGTTATGTGTCAATCATTTCAATTGGTTTCTTCTTCCTCTCCTCTTCACCTCCCTCTTTCCCCTACCCTTCTGATATAGGACCTTTTCAATGGTCTGTAAAACCTAGAGCAGTTGGGAGTTTCTTGAAAACATACAAGTATTATACAACTCAACCATTAGTTCCCTAGATGATTATTTACGTAAATACTCATCAGTTGACTCGATGAACAAGATGTGACATATATAAACAATAAAGATAGCAGTAAGAAGGTATGGACTGTTGGTATATATAACAATATAACATCGTGGATGACTAATACTGAGTGAAATTAGCTAGGTAATAAGTGATTGAGAGAGATGCTGTATATAACTATAAAGAATTATAGGAAATTCACCCAGTCTATATGCAATATGTATTAATTGTTATTATTTATAACCACTGTAGCATAGTGACAGTTGCACAGTGTTGCTGAGGGAATGGGATGTGGACAATTGGAGAGGGCTGGATCACAAAGTGCACAAATGAGCTTGTGAGTTTGTGTCTTCATTATGATAGTGGTGATGGATTCACAGATACAGATTCATGGTTCAACACAAGTTGTGTACTTTATGCTCCGTTTACTGTTTGTCCTTGATCTTAGTGCTCTCAAAATGAAACAACCCACTGCTAAATCCAAAGTAAATTATGATTAAAATTATAGGTTGAATTTTATGTCAATTAGTTATTTTAGAAGATTGGCAGATTTTACTAGAAAATGAGGGATTATTTTAAAAGCAAAATTAGTTTCCCTTCAATCACCTGAGACTCATGGTGACAGGCTGTCAGGAGTCGAATGTGCTCCATGGGGTTTTCAGTAGCTGATCTTTGGGAATTAGGTTGCCAAACATTTCTTTCCAGGACCATCAGCCTTTCAGCAAGCATGCTAACTGTGTTCACTATGCAGGGACTCTGCTGCTTTAAAATAGAAAGTTAATGTTTCAAAAGGCAGAGAAGTTGATAAATAGCCAATTAATATCTTTTTTTGGGGGGGGGGGCAATTAATATCTTAAAGACCACCTCTAGTGGAATTTTTGAGAGCCAGGAGCCAGGAAATTTGAAGTTGGGTTTTGGTGTAATTCTTTTATTAGTTATTTACGTCACCTGCTTTCATTATGTTATCTTAACATATAGAGCAGGGGTCCTCAAACTTTTTAAACAGGGGGCCAATTCACTGTCCCTCAGTCCCGTTGGAGGGCCGGACTATAGTTTAAAAAAAAACTATGAACAAATTCCTATGCACACTGCACATATCTTATTTTGAAGTAAAAAACAAAATGGGGCAAAAACATCTGGCATGTGGCCTGTGGGTCGCAGTTTGAGGACGCCCGATGAAGAGTATAGTGGGAAGTCTTCCTTGTGTTATGTCAAGCGCTTGACTTATGAAAAACAATACCACTAAATAAAATTTCACTTGCCATTCTGATCTCTGTATCTGGTTGAAGTTGTTATCCTTAGTTTTAGTTGTTATATTAAAACAATATTAGAATTTTTTTATATTGCCTTTTTGTTATGGTTTGTGATACTTTGAACAGTTAATTGTTATCTTTTGATGAACTGATTTGGATTTTCAACGTATTCTGCCTTTTAAATAATAGGAAAGGATAAGATTAAAAGTTTGATGATAGGCACCATCTCCTCTTACTTCAGCTTTTACCTCCTTTTCAAAAAGGTAACTGTGTTTATTGTCTGACTTTAGGTCCATCGCAAAAGAACTTGCAGACTGGCTTATTAGCAACAATGTGGTCGAGCATATATTTGGACCAAATTTACATATTGAGGTTTGTTGATGATAGGATTTTTTCTGCTCTAATAAGAGGAGAATATTTTTTTTAATTAAGTAAACTAACTTTTTCTTTTCCAGATTATCAAACAGTGCCAAGTGATTTTGAATTTTTTGGCAGCAGAAGGGCGGCTAAGTACTCAGCATATTGACTGCATTTGGGCTGCAGCACAGGTAATATTAACAGCTCACATTTATTGAGTTTCTCCTGATTACAATCTAAGTGCCTTTCCTCCCCGATGAGGTAAGTTATATTATCATTTCCATTTTATAGATGAGACCAAGAAATGAATAAGCTGGAAAGAAAACCTGTAAAATCTGACTTCAGAGTGCATGTCTGAATATGTTCCTTAGTAGACCTGAAGGAAATCAGAGTTGATCACTTGTAGGCTCTTCACAAATCCTGTTGGTTTAACACAGACCCTTTTCCTGTTCTCAGTTACACAGTCTCATGTGTATCGTTCTGAAAGTTACGTTGGTATGCCGCTTTTCTGTTTATTTATCTGTGGTTTATGGTATGCTTCTTTTCTATTATACTGTTTTGTTTAAAATTTTTTTGAAATAGGTATATATCCTTTATGGTTCCAAATCTATAAAGTAAATGTGTATGAGGATACAGTACTCATTTTTGTCTCTTTCACACATACAGTTTCTTGTTCTCTTAAGTTAATCAAAGAGTCTCTACAAAAATACCTCATTTGTATTGTTCTCTTCCTCTTTTCCCAAAGTCTAGCATATTAGTCAGACCTGACTTTTCTCATTTAGCAATTTATCCTGCAGATTGCTTTTAAGACTGTGTACTACTTTTCATTTTATGTACACAGAATTTAATAGTCTGTTGATGGACATTAATTTTCTCCAAAGCTTTTCTGTTATAAACAAGCTATCATAAGTAATTTATAGTCACTTTGCCTGCATACATCTTTATGTGGGCTAAATTCCTAGTTATAATTAAAACTATTTGGTTAAAGTACTGTATATACTCAAGTATAAGCCGACCCGAATATCAGCCGAGGCACCTAATTTTACCACAAAAACTGCATTAAATACGTTCTGGAGAACTCGGTTTATACACAAGTATATATGGGATGTTTGTGGCTGATAGTGGTTGAATGACAGCACCATTTGTTAATAGCTTCCACCGAATGACATATCTTTAAGCACATGATGATCTTTGCTAACGTAGGAGAAAAGTGGTATCATTGGTGTTTTCATTTTATTATAAATTAGGTTGCAAATCTTTGTGAGCCAATTTTCTATTTTGGGGCTATTCACATTAGGTGCTTTTATTAGTCAGGACTGTTTGTTTTATTATTTTTAAAAGCTCTTTTTATATTGGCAATATTGGTCTTTGGTCTTCATGAGATATGACTCTATTCTAATTCATGAATGGTTTGGTTTGCCTAAGATGGTTTTTTGGTGTGCAGTTTAAAATTTGTGGCTGAATTTTAAAGAAATTTATTTTGGGCCTATGGATTTTATGTGATGGCTTGAAGTGTCTGCTTTACTGCAAGATTGAGAATTCTGTTTTATTGTTTCCGATGTCATGTGTTGATCTAGCACTCAATATTTTAATTTAAAAAATATTTTTGTTACATAATTGTCTCTTCTATTCAGTAATTCTTTTTCTCATATATTGAGATATTGCATTTACGCTGATTAGGTTAGTTTTCTGATTTCCTAGACTGACACATTGGTTTATCTAGTTAGGGTCATACAAGGGATTGGTAAACCATAGCCTACAGGTTGGCTACCTGGGTTTATAAGTGAATTTTTATTCTATCTTTCCACTTTAATATCTTTATATTCATAGGACTGAAATAGTTTTCTTATAACTCTTTTGGAATTTACTGTTAAAATATTTTGAAGGGGTTTTTCATAAATTTATAAAACTTTGGGGTGATGGTTATAGTTTCTAGTGGTGCTAATGACTTTTCTTATGTAGATTTTTATGTCATTAGATGGAAACTAAATTTCCTCGTGGTTTGCAAGGGAACTTAAATATCATCTGATTACGTATTAGTAATTATTATTACTATTAATAAAAATATTTTGTGTGGGTAAGAGATTCATTTTATCACTCAAGGGTTGCTGTTAGTGGCCTTGAGTCAGTTTTGAATTTTTAAAAATCATTTTATTGGGGCTCATACAATTCATCACAATACATACATCAATTGTGTAAAGCACACTTATAATTATTATTATTACTATTAATAAAAAATATCACTATTTTGTGTGGGTAAGAGATTCATTTATTTCACTCAAGGGTTGTTGTTAGTGACCTTGAGTCAGTTTTGAATTTTTTAAAATCATTTTATTGGGGCTCATACAATTCATCACAATATATACATCAATTGTGTAAAGCACACTTATACATTTGTTGCCCTCATCATTTGAATCTTAATGACCTTCATATGACAAAATAGAACTGCTTCATAGCATTTTCTAGGGTGTAATATTTATAGCAGTGTAATTCACCAGGTCTTTCTTCCACAGAGCTACTGTATTTTGGTTAGCAGCATAATGCTTAACCATTTTTCTTACCAGGCTTATTACAAAGGTGTAGAGATCTCAAAGTTTTGAAATATTGATACATACTCTTTTTATTAGGGATAATATTTAGATTACTGCTTTATGAGCATTGCAGTATAATTTGGTTAATGCATTTCCATTTTTTCCCCACGTCTTAAATTGGAAACTTTGGATCCTATGCCTTTCTGCTTTTTTCTCCAAGTTTTATTGACATAATTTGCATATCAAGCAATTCAATGATTTAAACATAAAAAACAGTTGTGTAATCATCACCACAATCTATTTTCTTCTTACATTCATTAGCTCCTTGTTTCTCCCCAACCTCCCCTGCCATAGCCCCAAGAAACTATCAATGCAATTACTGTCCCTATAGATATACCTATCCTGGATTTCAAAAAAGAAAAACATACAAACAAGCAACCACCCAAACAGTAACAAACCAGAAAAGCCTCATTCAAAAAGGAAACAGAAAAAAAAAAAAAAGTAAAAATATGGAACGCTTCACTAATTTGCATGTCATCCTTGGGCAGGGGCCATGCTAATCTTCTCTGTATCCTTCCGATTTTCAGTGTGTGCCACCGAAGCAAGCACTCTCTGATTCTTATGGAACAATTAGCATGAGTGTCCTCTTATATATCAAAACTTTGATTTTTTTTCTTCCTCTTTTTTAAATGTAATTGAGTCTTTTTATAGACCTTTGTTAACCATTGATATGTATAGATGATTATTTAACATGTAGATATTTATTGGGTGCAGTGAAATATTTATCCATTAGATTTTTGTCTGGTAACTTATTATGGGTTAGATAAAAGCACAGCAACATAGATTTATTTCTTTAGTCTCATCAGGAATTCAGTTCCTAAATCTTTTAAATGAGAAATTGAAAGAGGTACCCATATCTAGATTTAAGATCCATGCCTTTATATAGACCCTTCTTTTATACAACCCATTCTATAGAAAACTGCACTTATTCTGCTGTTTTCTTGTCATACCTTTCTTTTTTAAATTTTATTAAATAATCATTTTATTAGGGGGCTCATACAACTCATCACAATCTGTACATACATCATTTGTGTTCAGCACAGTAGTACATATGTTGATTTCATCATTCTCACAATACCGGCTTTCCACTTGAGCCCTTGGTGTCAGCTCATTTTTCCCCTTCCCTCCCTGTTTGTCATACCTTTCTATATCTCTTAGTATTCATTAAATTTGTTCTTCTGAACCCCAAAATTTTCCCATTTAAACTATAACAGTTAAAGTAAGGAACTGGTGGGCTTGTATTACCAACCTGGTTAGCATCTGAGCATGTTGAACTTTTAAGCCACTAAGTCTCTTCAAACCAAAACTCACCACTGTCAAGTCAATTCCAACTCAAGGACAGACTAGAATTGCTCCTGTGGGTTTGAGACTTAATTTTTTGGGGGACTAGACAAACCTCCCTTTTCTCCTGTGGTTTCAAATTACTGGTATTGAGGTTAGCAGCTCATCCCACTATGCTACCAGGGCTTCTATTAAGGCTCTTTGTAGTTCATTTTCTTATTAGAAATGGTTTTGTTTTTAATCTTTTCTAAGATGTAATCTTTTGTCAGTTAGATTTTTTTTATCATGTAGTCTTTCCAAGAGTTTTTGGTGGCTAACTTTTAATATATATGAGTATGTATTTTTTTGTTTTATTTTTTCCACTCTTTAAAATAATTTTATCGAGAGCTCTTACAGATAGCATAACATTCCATAGTTCTATCAGATCAAGCATTATTGTACAGTTGCTACCAAAATCAGTTAACATTTTCTTTCTTCTTGAACTCAACTCCCCTTTATCCTCTCCCTCCCCCACCTTTCCTTTGTTTCCTGGTAAGTGAAGTGAACTGTAGAGCCTGCTTCCCGCAGTCATCTTTACATGGACTTCAAGCCATGTAATTCTAATGAGTTTTCCTGTACACTTTGAATTTGCTTACATAACACCAAAACCAAATCAAGCCCGATGCCATCAAGCTGATTCAGACTCCGTAGCCTTACAGAACAGAGTAGACCTGCTTGTTTGGGTTTCTGAGACTCAGCCTGTACAGGTTCAGATGGCTTCATCTTTCTTTCATGTAGTGGCTGGTGGCATCTTACCACCAGGACTCCTCCTCCCATAGAACGCACAATTTTTTTTTTTAAACATTTTATTAGGGGCTCATACAACTGTTATCCCAATCCATACACACATCAATTGTGTAAAGCGTATTTGTACATCATTTCTCAAAACATTTTCTCTCCATTTAAACCCCCGACATTAGGTCCTCATTTTTCCCCTCCCTCCCCGCTCCCCACTCCCACATGAGCCCTTGATAGTTTATAAATTGGTATTTTGTCATATCTTGCCCTGTCCAACGTCTCCCTTCACCCACTTTTCCGTTGTCTGTCCCCCAGGGAGGAGGTCACACACAGTTCCATGTAATCGGTTCCCTCTTTCCTACCCATTCTCCCTTTACCCTCCCTGTTTTGCCACTCACACCACTGGTCCTATAGGGCTCATCCATCCTGGATTCCCTGTATTTTCAGTTCCTATCTGTACCAGTGTACCTCCTCTGGTCTAGCCAGTCTTGCAAGATAGAATTCGAGTCATGGTAGTGGGAGCGGGGAGGAAACCTTTAGGAACTAGAGGAAGGTTGTATTTCTCATCATTGTAGAACGCACAATTAAAAGAGCCTGCCCACTGTAAGTTTCTTTGTGATTATGATACATCTTAATCTGACAATCTGTTTAAGCAGAATTTTATATATTTTATATAGCATCATTTATTATATTTAGAGATCATCATTTTATCAGCATATTAGAAATATGAGTGTATTGGCTAGCATCTCGGCTTTATTGAAAAAATATAACTGAAAAAAAATATCAACTGATTGATTTATGTGGAACAGTTCTTTTTGACTGTTGTGTCTGCTTTTATTTCCTAGTTGAAACATTGTAGTCGATATATACATGACTTATTTCCTTCACTCATCAAGAATTTGGACCCTGTACCACTTAGACATCTCCTTAATCTAGTCTCAGCTCTTGAGCCAAGTGTTCATACTGAACAGGTAATACATTCTGAACATCACGGTAGTTTGTGTTTTTTTTGGCATGAAAATTTATCTGTGGCTTAGTATTTATTTGTGGTTAGTATCTGTAGTTTATTTTTATTATGTAGTTTATTGGTGATTTCATAGGCACAAACCAGAGACCCCACTGCTGTTGACTGAGACCAGTCTTATAGTGTAGAATAGAAATGCCACATAGCGTTTCCAAACCTGTGATTCTTTCTGTTTTCCCCAGCAGTTTTACTGGCATATAATTCACATAACTCTGTGACTCCTTATGGAATCCTACTGCCACATTTTTCTTCTGCAGAGCTGTTCGTGGTTTCAAACCACTGACCTTTGGGTTGGCAGCTGAGTGCCTTAATCTCTGTTTACCAGGCTTGATTTTAAATAGGCAAAAAAGTTGTATTAAGTTTGTTGCTGCTGTGCCCTAAAAGCCTCTGACTTCGCCTTCTCCTTTTTTCCCCTTGCAGACATTGTACTTGGCATCCATGCTAATTAAGGCATTATGGAATAATGCACTAGCGGCTAAAGCTCAGCTATCCAAACAGAGTTCCTTTGCATCCTTATTAAATACTAATCTTCCCATTGGAAATAAGAAAGGTTAGTAAAGTATAACACATTCTGTAGTAACTTGTCAAAAATTTGTTAATCTTAAGTTTGAAGTATTTCTGCTAAGTTCTTCCAAGTCAGCCTTAATTTGAAAATGAGTTTGTGAACCAGAATGTATGTGCTAAAAGGATTTAAAAAGTAGAATGAAAAAAATAAATAAATAAATAAAAAGTAGAATGAATGCTTCTGATACATATTAGTGCTTCAAGTAAAGGACAGTAAATAAAAGTTTGACTAATCACCTGCTTTTCTACATGATTAGTCATCTTTCCCCCCCAAACCAGAAAAGTTATTTCATAAAAACTTGTATCTTTTGTGTTGGGCCGGGGTGGGGTGGACTTTGTTTTAGAAATAATCTAAGGCCAGAACATAATAATTGCAATTCTTTCTTTTCAGTTTCAAAATTTTCTACTGTGTCAGCTGCTCTGTGTGTATCTTTACATGTATAGCTTTCAAGGGCTTTCTAAAACTTTTTTTACTTTTACCCCAAGTTTTTCTCCTGATATCATATACTACTCTTTTCTTAGGCTTTTCTGTGCAGGCACCCACAACTACTACAAGTGGTGGGAACTTAACATTATTACAAGTTTCCCCACCTGTGTATCTCTGTTGATTGTGTAATAAGAACAACTGATATGCAGTCCAAAGCAGCACAGTCACTTAGAATGTTTCCCTCCTGTTTTTCCCTTTTCCTTCAGAGGAAGAAGAGCTCAGAAGAGCAGCTCCATCACCTTGTAAGTTGAGGCATAGAAATGCATGGCAACATGACCTATAGTTCATTGTGGTGATTTAAAAAAAAATCATTTTATTGGGGGCTCGTACAACTCTTAGCACAATCCATACATACATCCATTGTGTCAAGCACATTTGTACATTTGTTGCCATCGTCATTCTCAAATCATTTGCTTTCTACCTCAGCCCTTAATATCAGCTCCTTCCCCACGTTGTGGTGATTTTGTAGAGTTAACTGGTTTTATATAATAGTGGACCTTAATCAGTTTTATAAAGTTCATTTTCAGGAACTGTAAACCCCGACTAGTTATCCATCTGTATGACCCCTTTTTCTTGACTTGTTATTGAAATATGTATATCTTCTTTAGAAATGATTGGCAAATGTTGACATATTTCCAGGTTATTTCATGGCTACTGGTATAAAGCACTGACAGATAGGTCAAGGACTTTAACAATAATGTCTTAGGTCCATGGTAACTTGAATTAGAAATAAAAACAAAATCTTTTTATGTAGGGTCACCTGCAGCTAGTCCTCAAAGCAGTGATAATAGTGATACTCATCAAAGCGGAGGCAGTGACATTGAAATGGATGAGCAAATCATTAATAGAACCAAACATGTACAACAGCGACTTTCAGACACAGAGGTATGAAAACAGCATTTCTCCCTCTTTTCATGGTATTTGTAGGTTTCTGTCATTTGTATCATTTAAACGGGGGCTAAAAAAAAACAATCCATGTTGAGATATTTTTTCGTTTCTTGACTGTACATTTAAGGAAGTTTTTTTGAGGTTCTTTATTTTCATTCTTATTTTGTTCAAACAAATAAGAAAGACCATAGCAACCTTTTTAAGAAGTATGTGTGGATGCATTTCGTTACATTTTTGCTAGTAGTTTAAATATTTATATAAATCTGTTTCTGAATTCAGGAATCCATGCAGGGAAGTTCTGATGAAACTGCCAATAGTGGTGAAGATGGCAGCAGTGGTCCTGGGAGCAGTAGTGGACACAGTGATGGATCTAGCAATGAGGTGAATTCTAGCCATGCAAGCCAATCTGCTGGAAGCCCTGGCAGTGAAGTGCAGTCAGAAGACATGGCAGATATTGAAGCCCTTAAAGAAGAAGATGAAGATGACGATCATGGTCACAATCCTTCTAAAAGCAGCTGTGGGACAGAT